TGAGTCGGAGTGGGACGCTTGACGTGTCGCAATTCGCAATATATTTTAAAACTATTCTACCTAATTAATAAATTGTGATTTTGAAGTATCGAATGAAAACTATATTCTCATTGGTTAAAGATGGAAGTTTTTGTCATTTGAATGTTCAGGAATATTAATTGTGATTAATTGGTTAAATACCGAAGTTATCTGTTATCTGATGTTGGTACTAACCTAATGTTTTTGGGTAATTTTGACGGTCATTTCCTGGAATTTCCAGGCCCGCATAAATATTTATCCTATTAAAGTACAAAAACCCTACAATAGATATTATGAGTAGGTATTTAACATTCATTTATCTTATTTAGGTAGTTATTTCCTAGAAACATTTCCCTGATTGTCAATAACACATTACCGTATATCTGTGCTAATATGACGTCACGACTTTTAATATACTTAATGAAGGCTGGGGGAAGGAGTTAAGAGTCTATAAATTTACAAACAAGCATACGGGTATTTAGTTTTCAAAATTACATCACACGTTTCTGAAGTGTTTTATTGTGCTGTTTGTTTTTAATAAGTGTTATTTTCTTTAATAGAAAATTGATTTATTTGTGCCAAGTGTCCTAGTGAGTTTCATTGTACATTTTAATCAGTTTTATTTTTGGATAAATTGACATCGACTTCCTGCATTAAAGGTAGGTAGTATTTTTTTAATCACTCTCGAGTTCGTCATTGAATAAAAAAATTAAACGCTATAATTTTAACATTCAAATATTTGCAATTAAAAAAATAATATTACGTAGTAAATTTGACAATAAAAAAACTTGTTATTTAATAATAATGTTTCATTATTCTGAATATATTTTTTCTACGATCAATATCCAAAGTAGGTAGGCTTTTGCACATTAAAATCTAAATAAAAAGTTGACGTTTTCTGCGAATTGTCATAATTTGACATTATTGGCGCACATTACCTAATATTCAAACCCATTTCCATGCTTAAAAATAGAAGATGGTGACATTCATTTAAAAGAAAACCATAACTACTTTTACCAGGTGAAAAATTTCAATATGTTAAAATAATTCATGATTTTTAAGAAATGTGCTAGAAATGATACTACAATATTAATATTCTTTTTATGTTTGATTTTCTAATAATGATTTTATATACTTTTAGATTCAAGGACAGCTAGGTATAGCTCAAAGAAAATTGTGCTACTTTGTAGTATATACTGGAGATGAAAATCCACTATTTGTTGAAAAATTTCATTTTCAACCCATTTTTTTTTAAAATATGGTTGAAAAATTAGAAAAATTTTACTCGGAATATATGGCACCTGAGATAATTTTAAATAGAAGAGGACGAGGATTAAAATGTCTGGATACCCCATATAATGAAACTTAAAGTACAAAGATTAGCAAATTTATAAAAATTATAATTTAATGGACTTTAATGATACAAGTACTTGAAATAATGGTTTTTTTTGCGCAGAAGCATGTTCATACGTAATTTGCAATTGGTAATCACTAAATACAGATGGAAAAGTATATACGTCAACGATATGTTCTCTTATTTTTGATTTATTTTAACAGGTATAATATATGGTATGTTACTTATAGTATAGATTTTTTTATTTCTCGACCTAATTTATTTGTTACGTCTTCAGCAATTGTCGCTTTCAGTTGACATAAACGAAATTGATAAAAAGTGTTTTTCGCATTTTATTTTGACTGTTTCTCTTACTTTCGAATATAAACTGAGCTTTGTAAACATAAAATGACGGATATGTCAAACTAAAACTGACGGTAAAATGAAACATTGAGTATCGTTAAATGCAACTTTTGAACTAGTTTCAAAAATAGCATTAAAATGATATTATCATTCACAATGTACTAATTTCCTATACTTTTAGTTGATAAATAACCGATAATCATACATCATATAACAAATAGGCGCGTGTCAAAAGGTCAGAAAAAAGAATGCCGGTGAAAAAAGGTCGTTTCCAATTGTATCATATAAACAGTATCAGAGGCAGTATTATCATCTCGTATATCCCCCGTAAACACACTTAATATAAACGGAAATAATCAAATACTAGTCAAAATATTATCGATCGGAGCACCATCTTTATTATATTACATGAAGTAATTATTGATTTTTCTGGGTTTATTTAGAGTTAAATTAGACGCCATTTTTGGTCCAAATTCGTTTTGACATGTTTTTTCAAAGAAAGTGACTTATAAATTTCAAATCTACACGTTTTGAAAAATATACAATATTTAAATATTCTGAGTGTACCAAATTCCAAGTAAAGGTTGAACTTAGGTCGTATTACATTTTTTTTTTTATTATTTGTTTGACATCGAGGTTAAAATAATTCTAGACGGCACCTTTGAGATGAAATAAAAGGGGGTTATTTTACATGATTGGTTTTTATTGAAAATAATAAATTTATTAATTTTCAATAGTAAGGTGACCTAAGTTAGACCTTTATTTTTAATTTGGCCAAAAATTAGATTTTTAAACACTACATATTCGGAAAACTGTCGATTTACCTTTTGGTCTACACATACAATTTTAATACACAGGGATACCCCGTCCTTAACCACATCAGAAAACTTTTGCAAACTGTAAATTTTAATATGTCACAAGCTATTGATATGCTTAGCAACTGCAAACCTTTCTTTGAAAACCTGAGATCAGATGAAGCTTTTGAAAGCATCATTTTAGAAGCAACCGAGATTGTTTCAGAGATTGACGTGGAAGCTAATTTCGAAACCACCACACCACGTCATCGTGTCAGAAGAAAAACAAGAACGTTTTTGTATGAGGGCCCGGATGAACCCGTTCAAGACCTCAAACAAAAATATAAAATAATTTTTTTTTTCACACTATAGATCAAGCAATAAATGCCTTTAAAACCAGATATAATTTGCTAAATACAGTAATTATTTCAGATTTGTTTACAATGTTTTTGGTCCAAAAGACATGCCCAGAAATGAGCTACTGGCTCATTGCAAAGATTTGGAAGTAGTTTTAACTGATGTGTTAATTTCAAATTTGCACAATATCTCGAATACGGAAATCATGTATAAATAATCAAGAATTATATAGAATGACAACACAAGCAACTTTTTTTTAATTTTCTTAATAATTTTAATTTTGTACTTTTTGTCAAATTTCTCGAACATGGACCTTTTTAGGAAAATTATGTATACTTAAAACAAAAATTATAATGAATAACTTTATAAACTACTTTTATTTGAATAATTTTCTTCTCCACTCATAAATAACGCATACCTTCAAAATCCGCATCAACAAACGCACCCTGCTTTCGCAACAGTAAACATTTTATCTTTATCAAAATGCGACTAAAATCGATCATGCTTGGCAATTTTTCCTCGGAAACCTTTCACCGAATGTAACTGGCCTAACTTGGCTAAAATCGATGCAAAAGTGCCGTATTGATAAGCATAATTCAAATATACCTGGATTTAAAATGGAGACTCTAATATGGTGAGCTTCCATCTTACGTACAGTTCTGAAACTAACAGAAGTGCCATCTGTGAAAAGGAACACACAAACAGTTACGAATAGAGATGGGGGACCACTAGCATATATTTATCAATTTCTTTATTTTGTTTCCTTCTCCCAGCCATTAAACTCTGTGTATCTATCCTTTTTTAACCCTGACAGTAAAAACTGTGTGCCACAGGGCTGCCAGATTCAGTACTTTTGTACTGAATTCAGTACTTTTTCAACTTTTTCAGTACGTCAGTGTTACGTTTTTAGTTTTAGTACGTTTTCGTTGAAATTTGTCAATTCAGTACAATTTTCAGTACTCAGTATTAAAAAAAAAAAGAAGATAAATGACATATTTCATTAGTGGTTGACACTGTTGACAGTTATTTTACAACTAATTACATTTTTTAAATTTGTTGTAAGTTTATTGGATGCAATTTTCGGAATTTGGAGAGGAAAATGGATAAGTAATAAGTTTTCTTTGCAGATTAAATAATGTTTATAAATATGATTGTTTTAATTTTGAAGGTTCCTTATTCATCAAATTAAAGATTCCCAAGAGGAAAATCAAATAAATATTGATTTTAATGCTGAAAATATTAAGGTTGAGATAGATTCTCAATTTGAAGATGATGAGGAGGAGGATGGTGATAACACTGAGAACCATCAAATAGTGCATAAGAAAAGAAAACTCTATAAGGCTAAATTTAATTGCAAATGGCAAGAATCGTTTTCTTGGATCCGGTCAAACAATGGTGTAGCTCACTGTAAGATTGTAAAAGAAATATTTCCGGTGGCATAGTTCACTTAAAGAGGCATGAAAAAACAAAGCGACATTTATCCAAAGTAAAAATAGCTCAGTCAACTCTACAATTGATGAATTTTCTCTCCTCGGAATCCAAACCAACAATATATGTAGACACAAAAAGAGCAGAATTAAAAATGATTATGTTCTTGGCAGAACATAATCTACCATTTTTAATCATGGACCATCTTCCAAAATGTATGGCATCTGCAGGACATGATTCAAATATTTAAAAAAATGTTAAATGTGGTCCAACTAAAGCCACAATGTATTTACAATCTTTCAAAGATGAATTTTCTAAAACTATTTGTGAGCTTATCAAGGGCCAAAAATTTTCTATAATGATTGATGAGACAACAGATATATCCACCAAAAAATGTTTAGCACTTGTAATCAGTTTTAACAAGTGTGAGAAACACAAGAAAATTATTTTTATTTTGCTTTCGCTTTACCTATGTACCTGTTTGTTTCTATATGATAACATTTTTGTAAATGTTTCAATAAAAGCTTTTTTATAGGTTATTAATTTAAATTTCCCGCCCTTTTATGGTGTTTTTTGATTTGTTTTAGTACGTTTTCATAAAATCTAGTACTTTTTTAACAACTGATTATTCAGTACGGTTTTTTGAGATTCAGTACGTTTTAAAAATTTTTTTAGTACGATTTGCCATTTTCATTCTGGCAGCCCTGGTGTGCCAGCTATATTATTGCAGTTTGCAGTGCCGTTATTAGATTAAAAGATAAGATAACGGTAAAATCAGACGAAATGTCAACTTTTCGAAGTGTTTAAAACTTTTTAAGATCAACAAGTAGGTCGTGTTTTTAGACCAAACAAATATGAATTTGGCCAACAACACATTGGAGAGAATACAAAAAGAAATTCGAGATAATATTCAACGAGAAAAGGAGCTGAAAAATGGTAATTTCAGAGTAAATGAAGATGCTTCATACAAAGAAGTTTCTCATGCATTAACTAACGGAATGGCAAAATTAAAATTAGAACAAGAAAATGAATTAAAAAATGGTCATTTTAATTTATCTAATGGAAGTTCGAGTTCAAGTTCAAATGGTTTCACTCGGAGGTTCATACCAAACACAAATACTAAAGGGATGATGCAAAAATTCTTTAGAAGTAGAGGTAAAGTAGGTTCATCTATTAATTCAGTTCAACCACAAAATGGGTACTCACCGGTGAGATTCAGAGTTGAAAAAGGTCAGACACTTCGAAATGGATATGTGCCAGCTCAAGAAAAGATAGTGAAAGAATTGCTAGATTTCCAATTAAGGGAAAAAGAATTAAGGAATGAACGTATGAAATCACAGCCCGATTTAATGGCAGCTTTAGAATTAGAAGAGAGTCAAATTAATGGATGCAAAGGAGGTTTAAAGTCGGCCAAATCTATGACAAATTTGTTTCAAAGTGAAGATACAACCAAAAATTGTTATTCTTTGCCTTCAAGATAAAATTTATAGTAATATCATCTGAAGAAAACATTTGTAACTATCAGGTATGTTTTGCCCATTTTTATTTATTTATTTATTATATATACCATATACCCTCACATATACCTATTGTTTATTTATTTTTAGTCTTTACAAATACCTTGTTGAATTATAAGTTAAGAAAGTTTCCACAAATAAATCTCACATACTTCTATTGCATATTTAAATCATCTTATATGCCAAAGAGCATAAATTAATCTCTAATTTCTTAATCACACCATAGTCTTTGTATTTAAAATTATTACTTAGATAGGTAACTATAAAAAAATTAAAATATCTTTCTTGACATATCGTTCACTAATTTCCTATTATTTGAAAATATTTGCCAGCATACAATGTGATCATAATTGTAAAATTTTCTCAAATACAAAATCTTCGAAGTTTGTTGACTTTTTTAAATTATATATTTCAGTGAAAGCTAGAAGGGCCTCATATAGCACCTGTATTATAATTTCCACTGGGTAGGTATATAAGAATTTTATAGTTATAGTAACTGTATCCACTGATTGTAGGTTTTAAACATCCATTGTCTGTGTTTTACTGATTTCACAATGGTGTGTACAACCTATTGTCTTCAGGTGAAAACATATCTCACCTCTAACTAAAAAAAATCTCAGATATGTTCCTTATTGTTTTTTTGTTTATGTAGGTATATAGATTCTAGAATGCATCTCATATTTTTTGGATCTATTTTTTATTTAAGTACTTTGGAAAAAATGAAATAGCTACTATAATTATTTATTTTCCCTATTTATTTACCTTAATATTTTAGTCACTTTCTGTTTCTAAGATAGAAAATATTTCTTTGATAATTTATTCTTATTATATTATTTTTACTTTTAAGAGTCCTTTGAATGGAGAGATAAGATTTTTCTTGATAATTTGTTATTGAGTACCTACTTAAGTATGTACTCTGATTTTTTCTTAGAAAGCGGTCATTTGTCATAATTTTTTCTACAAAAAATCAATAACATAATTTTACTATTAGGATAAACTAATTATAATTTGAGTACCTAAGTTATAAATAAATATTAGGTATGTTGATAAAATAATTTGGATTTTTTTATTATGAAACTAAATATAAAGGGGTTAGAATACAAAGGGTATAAGTAACAAATAAACTAGGTATTTGGAATAGCCACAATAAAATCTACAGATAAATCTTGAGTTTTTGTGGAAGAGGTTCATTCAGGGAATGCTACATATAGAAGGGTTCGCCTGATTTAAATCAAGTGACTTTACAAATACATATTTTTTAAATTCAATACTAATTTTCATTATAGTATTTGTACAGAAATACTATTTTCCTGCTTTCGCTACTCCTAATTTATTTCATAAATTGGAGTGAACGATTCCAAATGTAGAAAATACTCCCTGTACTGAAGCTGATGAGGAGACAGCACATAAAAATTGTTTCAAGATTGGAAGAAGTTTTGCAGCTTCAGGAATATTCTGTTGTGAAACACTAACACTGAATAATACCTCTTCTGATAACATAACTGTTGAAAATGGTTCAGTTTTGCCTTCAAATTTTATAATGTGTGGTAGGAATCCACTATTTCCCTACATTTCTTGTATAATATTTAATGTTGAATTTTTTTCTGCAGTAGTTAATTTCAATTTGGTTGTATCGAAAATATAAGCCACAAAATGATAGGGCGTTAGTGTTTGTTTAGGTATACAGGGTGTACCAATAAAAACTCCCAGGCCGGATATTTTGGTAAGTAATAGAGACATTTTAATTCAGTAAAAGCCAATTCATAGAGAGCTAAGAGAGCCTCACTTTTAGATATAAATTAATTTTAAATAGGTCCATATGTAGATGGCGCTGCGCTCAATTTTTTTTTTTTTTCGATGGGAGGATCTTTCTCATATAGCACATCTGATAAAAAATTGTCCTGTTTTTTGGCATTATTCATTGGATTTTTAGAAAATGCCAAAACAGGTCGATGTTTATTCCAAATTAAACACATTGTTACAATACTGACATCTGTCAATCCCCCCCTTTTACTTCTCCAACCCCTTAATTTTAAATAAGGAATGTACCATGTACGGCACATCATTGAAAAGGTAATTTTATGGGGAAGTCAAAAATATGACTTTTATTGCTACACTTTAATTTTAGCGCTTTCTATCGAGATAAAAAACCCTGCAACGCATTATAAAGTGTGATACTTCATTTGAAAAATAATTTAATTACTAATTTAATGCACCACATAACATTAATAAAATATTTCCATTGCAACAAAATAAAGTTAGCAATAATGTTTAAAATAATGCATGACTAACTTTCAAACTATTGCAAGTACCTTCTGGAGGATATTTATATTAATGTTATATGGTGCATTGAATTAGTAATTAAATTTTCTTTCAAATAAGGTGTCACACTTTATAATATGTAGTTTTTTTTATCCCGATAGAGGGCGGTACAATTAAAAGTATCGCAATGAACAGTCATATTTCTAAATTTCCCATAAAATTACCTTTTTAATGATGTACTACACATTGTAGTGTCACACTCTATAATACGTAGTAGTTTTTTATCTCGCTAGAGGACGATAAAATTTAAGTAACGCAATGTACAGAAATATTTCTGAATCCCCCATTAAATTACTTTTTCAATGATGTGCCATACATGGTACCTTACCTATTTAAAATTAAGGTGTTAAACAAGTGCAAGGGAGGGGGTTGACACATGACAGATGTCTGTATTGAAAAAATGTTTTTAATTTGGAATAAAAATCGACCTGTTTTAGCATTTTCTCAAAATTCAATGATTAATGCTGAAAAACAGGATGAAACTGTTTTGAGTGACCCACTCTGTATATCAAAAATGGCTAGATTTATAGAATTAGTTCATAGAACAAAATCTGCTTAAAAATGCATTTTTTACAAGATGCGCTACACAAGAAAGATCCTCCCATCGAAAAAAAAAAAAAAACTATTCTGCGCAGCGCCATCTACATATTGACCTATTTAAAATCAATTTATATCTAAAATTAAAGCTCTCTTTGTGTTCTGTGAACTGGCTTTTACAGAATTAAAATATCTCTATTAGTTTCCAAAATATCCGGCCTGGGAGTTTTTATTGGTGTGACCCTGTATTGGTTTTCAAAAATTTGTATTTGAGTCAATGATAAGCCATATGCTTATTTCTGAAGTAGTTAATAATTTGTGTAACATGTTCTTTGACATTTCTTATTTCTAAATCTGCTGAGCTGAGCATCCATGAGTTATGATCTTAGAATTATCTGTTTCGAAAGATTTTACATCATAGTTGTATTTAGATGTACAAGATAAAATTAAATTGCAAGCAATCCCAGTTAAGTGATCGCCTGTGTGTGGATTTCCAGATGTATTAAATTGTTTGAAAATGATTAACAATTTTCAGTGGTTATTGTGACACAAACTATGGGCTCATTGTGGACATTATACCAACCATCAGTAGACATGTTTACACTCAAACCAGAAAAACTTCCAAAACATTTTGTTTTACTTCCTTATGGAATTGTTTTAGAAGAGCCATCGAAATGGTTTTTCCTGATAGGGACTTATAAAACCAGGTGTTAGCATTTCGATCACATTTTTTTTACGTGTGTGTTATGAATTATTATCCATACTAATTAATCTTAATATTTTCACCCGAAATTTTTTCTTTCTACTAAATAAAACCAATCTATATTCCCTGATTAAAAATCCTACATATGATACCATACATAAAAACTGCAATTAGACAATTATTTTTTCTTAAAATTATGTAATTAAAATTAAACGTATTGCTCAAATTCCCGACTCAACGGGTACCATTTCTAACATTCTTAAGACTAAACAGTGCGAATTGTCTAAACACCTGAAGCTAGTATTAGTTGCAAATACAGTTTATTTGTCTATTTCTTCCTTTTTTTATTTGAAGATGTTTTACGCTGATGTTACCCAGTTATTAAATTATTTTGAACCCCAAGATATAAACAATCTGATTAATAGAGATTTGCAGTTTCTATTACAATATTAAAAATAACACAATTACTATTAATCCTTCAAAAACTACTGCTGTTCTGTTTTGCAGTGAAGCCAGATGTGTTGTTATTGAGAGATCAAGTTAGATGATGAGTATAACTTTAAATAATGAATCAAAAAATTTGAGTCTACTTACTCATCAGTGTCTTAGATTTAAGAGTCATATTAAGACCTTGATTAAGAGATATTACTCAAGATTGCGGTTGCTTTACATTAATAGGCTTATATTGAAATTTAAAGTGAGAAAAAAAACTTTGTGAATATTTAGTTTTATCAATATTAAGTTATTGCAATATTGTTTACTATCCTTGTTTGGACAAATCACAGAGCCAATCACAGCTTATACAAAATGCTTGTTGCTGATTTATTTTTGGTTTGAAGAAATTGATCATATCTCAATATATTTCGTTTAGCTGAAATGGCTCAAAGTTGACAATCTATATCAACTAAATCTTTTAATATTTTTGCATAGACTGTTAGAGATAAGGAACCCTGTCTATTTGTTTGAGAAATTAATTTTCAGAACATCTGTTCATAATGTTAATATTAGATTTCACTGTTAAAATATATTATCAGTTTTATTTTCTAAATTGGAATGCATCATTGCATATCTTTGTAAGTGAGATTAAAAATAATTGTTTGGCTAAGCAATAACCTGTTTTTGTTTGGATTACTTGGCCCAGTGTTTTTATACTTTTTATGATGGTGTTTTAATCTTTGAAAAAGTCTTTGATATTCCTTTTTGCAATCTTTACAAATCGCTCTCCTGCCAATTTTTCCTCTCTTTTTTTCTATAAAATAATTCCAAATTGTGTCTTCTAATAATTTTAATTAACTTGGGTACAGACACAGTCACAGGCTGAATAAAATTTATCAAATGAATCAGCTTACGAGTTCGACAGGATTTTTACAGGAAAATTCCGGCAAGTTCTAACAAGAATTACATAAACTTAATAAACCAATACAAAATATGTTTAAACCCGAAAATTCTATTTCTTGTTGTTTGTGTTTGCATGTAAAAATACATACTTAAGAGGAATACATACATCTACTTAATATTTGATTTATATTTCTCAAGCGATGTCAATGAATTTTTTTACACATCTTACACGATATTCTATATTATAGATTCACTGAGATAAAAATAAAAATTCAATTATGAAATTTTTAAAAAACTTCTAAAGAAACTAGATAATGTCATGTAACAATTCCTGAAATTTCAATTTTTTTTTTATTGAGTATTAAAATAACTTTGAAAATAGGGATTTTTAAGGAGGTCCTTTCGCCACACCTCTCGCCTCAAATGTTAAAAAAAAAGTTATTATATTATGACTAAAATTAATTTTTTTCTAATAGTTGAAGTCCTTATTTATCTAATACTGAACTTTTAACTATACCTTACTTTGCAAATTTTTGAAAATTTTGTTTTTAAAAATGTGAGTATTTGTACAGTGCCTCACGAGAAAGTAAGTCCTCAACAACAATTCTCGAATTATACTATTATTTATTGATTAGATGGAGTAGAAAAAAACTAAAAATAAGGTTTTTGAAATATTTAGATTTTGTTTTATACAATAAAATATATATAATAAACCGTGGAACTTATTGAGAAATTAATATTAAAAAATTCCACGGTAACCTATATATTTTATTGTAAAAAACAAAACCTAAATATTTCAAAAACCTTATTTTTAGTTTTTTTCTACTCCATCTAATCAATAAATAATAGTAAAATTAATTATAATTCGAAAATTGTTGTTGAAGTCTTACTTTCTGTACAAACACACACATTTAAAAAAAATTCTCAAAAATTTGCACTGTAAGGTATAGTTAAAAGTTCACTATTAGATAAATAAGGACATCTACTATTAGAAAAAAATTAATTTTAGTCATAATCTAATATTTTTTATTTAACATTGGTGGCGAAAGGACCTCCTTTTAAAGTAATTGTATACTTTAATAGAAAAAAATAGAAATTTTAAATTTCAGGAAAGGTTACATAATGTTATTTTCTAATTTCTTTAGAAGCCAGTTTTAAAAAAAAACTATATAATTATAAACATCTTTTTATCTCGACGAATCAGTTTCAATTTAAAAAAATATAATACTAAAATGTAAAAAAATAATATAAATCGCTTGAGAAATACTTATAAATCACATATTAAGTAGAGCGGCATTAATTCCTCTTAAAATCGACCAAAAAACATTATTCAAAACTAAAAAAATCAGAATTTTTTTGTTTTTATTGCTTATTTTCGACAAAAATCATGATTTTTTCGAACCGTGGTTTTTGTGGGATAGGCTGGGGAGAGGTTTTTTCAGGGAATGCTACATATAAGTACTGTCAGGAAGATGCAAATTTAAAAAGTTTTCACAAAAAAAAAGAAAAATTTATAATTAATTTGGATCCTTTGTATCCCAGCACATATCTGGTTTTCACAGTTGGTGGCATCTAACTTTAACAGAACGAGGTACTTGTACCCTTTGTATTCTAACCCCCTCAATTAAATGAAATGGTTGATTTCTAGTATGGGCTTTTTAATAAATAAGAAAAGTGAACAAACTGCTTGAAACATAGAAACAAATAGGTATGTTTTAGAAATGTTCAAGGATTTTTTTTCAAAACTTGGCTGACAAAAATCTATAATTATCCAGAAAAATCAATTATCTGGAAATCTGGAAATAATAGGCAAAAATGGAATGTGTGAAGAATGCTCTGAATGCCGATGGACAGATAGAATAAGATAAATGGCTTCCACCATACAAACTATTCCAATCAATTGTTTAAAATACATAATTGTTGGTTCAGTGACTAAACTGCAGCATTTTCACATCTACCATTATTACCTATTATTTGCTGATTTAACTCTAACACATTATCTTTTATTAATTATCATGTTAACGAAGACTTTGTATTTTTATATAATTTTTTAATTATTACTATTCTCTTTCTTCTAGATGGTATTCATTCCTGTGGTACTTCGCCTACTTCTGTCCAGTGAAGTAAACTGATTAGAAATAATTATATATTTTTTGTTTTGTAAAATATACAGGACCAGCTGCAAACGAATCAAACCGAGTTCCTTCTAAAATACATAATAATTTTTTACATTTGTCTGCATAGTAAAAGTGTTGGCATTCTCATAATATAAATAGTAACTACCAGAGGTGAATCGTTGCCTAGTCCACAAGGAGTCTACTTTTGAAAGGAATACCTTAATATATATTTCTATTAGAATACAATGTAATATTTTTGCTTTTGTATTCTAATAGAAATATATATTAAATATATAAGGTATTCCTTTCAAAAGTAGCCTCCTCGTGGACTAGGCAACGAGACGCTTCTGGTAACTGCCAAAAAGTATTGATATTAAATGGAGTGCACTTAAATATAATAAAAGCATGTCAATCTTCTGTTAGGTATTTCGTGAAAGAACATTGCCATAAAAGTTCAAATTGGACACCAATGAGTTTCATTGTGATTTTACTGCAGCTTTAATACTAATTTTGTGAGGAGTTAAGTATAAAGTAACTATACAGAGGTACAAGAAACAAACAGGAATTTTAGGAAAAACAGTTTTAATATTCCAAAGTACTCCTCTTTATTTACTTTTGTACTGTTTTCAATCATGTTTTGTGAGTAAACTATTTTTTTATATAATTATATAGCTGGTCTTAATAATATAATTTCCATTTAGTCATATTGTAGAGCTATTTTCTCCTTATAAATGAAAGTAAAAAAAAGACAATGAATGTATGGGGTTTATACAGAATATAAAAGTGAGATTTGAATAACATCACGTAATAATTTAATTTGTCACCAGAAAGTATTGGATTTAGGTACTTAAAGGTTTTGTAAAAATATTTATAATTTATTTATTTATTTTATGTATAGCTTGAAATAAAAATGAGATTCATAATGACAAATTCTGTTTGTAACAAAAAAATAAAGTTTTTTTAACTACTAGTTATTTTATTAATTATTGTAAAAGTTTCTAATGTTTATAGGTATGTAAAAGATTATAAAAATGTATTTATCCAGAATTTGCTAAATATTTACCATTTAGTTTTTTTTTAAACTGATAAAACATTCTGTTTGAAAAGAATATTGTAAATAAATAAGTTAGCCAAACTAGGTACTTAGTACCTAGTAACTTAGTTAATAAATAAATAATATAACACATAATAATATAAATACACTATGACACTGAGATTAGGACCTTATGTTAATATATATTTCTTTTTTTATGAAGTAATTTTCATCAAATTTGGAACAAGCATACTGTAGTTGCATACCGAAATATTAATTTAATGCGAAGAATGCTGACAGAGGTGCCATATATATACAGGGTGTCTCATTAAGAATGGTACACAGAACAACTGAAGATTTTCTGATAAAACTAAGACGAATAAATAAAACATGCTTTGATAAAATATTACTAGTTTCAGAAATACAAGGTGAAAAATTATTAATGGCTAATTTTTTTATTTCTCGGAAGGAATAATTTTACTAAATTCGGTAAATGTTTTTAGTGTTATAAGAAACACCTATCATGAGTAAATAACACCAAACTTATTTGGACTACAATTTAGAATTCTTTGATGTTTCTTAAATAAATAATGCATTTTTGTTGGAAATTTATAAAAAAATCCACCCATGAGTGTGAATATCTCGAAAACCAATCATTATGGGTGTCCAAGAAGAGTACATGATTTATTTAAAAAATGTAAAAATATAGTCTTATGTTTTTGGGACAGTGTCGTAAAATTTAAGAAGGGATGAAGATGTTACATCTGTAAAGCGTAAATTAGGCCCATTGTGCATCCTCCTAAGATGATAGGCACCTCCTAGCTCGTGATCAAGCCTACATATTTAATGTAGTTGACAACGTGGCCAAAAGAGGTATTTCTCTTATATCAGCCGGTACTCGCCGAACACAAATCTTCTAATAAATGAGAGCATCGAGCAATCTTAGAGTATATGCACCAGGGATGTTGCGGATGCCGATTTTTTCACATCCGCGGATGTGAAAGCGGATGCGGATTTTTGAAGGGCTCAAATCCGCGGATGCGGACGCGGATGTTTAAGATCCTATATAAAAATAGAATACGAAAACGAATGAAGAATTAAAACAATGATAAAGTATTTATTAACATTTTTATCAATGAAAATTAGTATTATGTTATGTATGTATTCCTATGTACAATGCTCCTATTTTTTTTAACTTCACTTACTAATTTTCATATTAGTAAGTGAAGTCAAAAATAGGAACATTGTACTTAATAAAGAGTAATATTGCCACCTTTTCTGATTCAAGGCGGTTACGCAGAGGTTCGTAAATTAAACCCGCGCTACTAAATAATTGTTCGCTAGGAACACTGCCTGGTGGAGTGGATAAAAATCTTCGTGCTATCGGTGATAATATCTTGAATTCCTCTCGATGAACACTCCACCATTTAAGAGGATTTTCATCAGAAATGACTCTTTTTTTAGTGCGGTAAGAAAGTAATTCCTTTTTAAGTACAGCTTCAAGGCTACCATTTTCTGATATTTCTTGACTCTCATCTTCACTTGACGAATCTAACATCGTAGCAAGGTCGTTTTTTAAGCTTGGCTTTCTGACGAAACTTGATGGTCCTGGTCATAGTTGTTTCATATTCTTTTCCGTGAGATCGTCATTCTCAGGAAACGCCTCGTGCGAACGGCACGCGTCATTCGCCGGCTCCACCCAATTTCTTTCTTGTCGCAACTCGCCATTTGTATTACCTTCGCATCCGGATGAACATCCGTATTGATTATTGCAGATGCGGATGTTCAAATCTATGCGGAAACTCCGCATTTGCGGATGCGGATATTCGCAACATCCCTGATATGCACGATGCAGAGAGCGGATTCTGACAGCCCCATGATATGGAGATATGTTTCCGTACTTGGAAATGACAAGTCAGAATGCCTGTGACTGGCGCAGATTCTATCTAGTCATACTCAAGTATTTGTTTGCTGCAGTGTTGTCTGGATAACTTAAGAGCTCGCTGGCAACTCTACAGTTTCTTGTTTTATTCAAAACAGAATGGCACCGTTATCAACACCTTAGTAAACAGATAGAGCGCTAAGGATATGTGAACCAAGACACATAAACGATGAAGTGAAATACCTGATGAAAACAGTGTTACAAGCAAAGGGATACAGCAAAAAAACTCATAATCCGTGCTACGCGCCAAAGTGAGAATAAGGCCAAGTCTAGTGAATAACAAAACCAAGGAACTGTCTAGAAAGTTTTACGGACCGAATCGGTAAAATCCCAAAGAAAAAGAAAATCGCCAACAAAGAATATCCTAAAACAGCGAAAGACCGCAGAGACTCCCTTACATCAGCAGGAGTCTACAAACGAAGAAGCATTGGTACACGCGACTAACAGAACATGAACGAAGTTGTCGTTTATTAGGACAAACCGAAAAGTCTGCAGTCGCCGAACACACATTAGATTGCACTTGGAGGCTATAGAAATACAAACACATTAAGAACTTCAATAGAAAGGAAGAAAAACAATATTACCTATGATCTGGTACACATATCATTAAAAAGTGCGAAAATAAAACCGCCTTAATACCACTCACGCCAAAAAAGAGCGCGCAGACACGCATATAACATATAAATACCACACGAAGGAGGATTCATTTGATGCGTCGAGAAGAGTACTTTCGTCCATGCCACTGAAGATGGCTGCCGCAGTTGTAGCTGAAATATGTTTGGTAGTAATAACCAAGTAGGACCACGGAATAACGGCCCGAAAACAATTACATTTATGCCGGCAGTGAAAACCTACATTTTTAATGACATTTCTGGTAAAATATGAAGTGTCGGCCATTTTTTTTATAAATAAGTGCCTATTCGGAATGATGTCCAGTAGGTTTGTCCCAAATTTGATACAAATCGCTTCATAAACAAAAAGAAAAGATTAACGTGGCCCTGGTTCCCTGGTCTGCTTATTCCTAGTCTTACACTCAATGTAGGTATCTTTGCAACATATAAATCCTGGGTATGTAGATACACATTTTAATCTGATTTAACTTTCCACACTCTACCTAAGGATGAGTACCATTAGATTCCATTTCGTATTTTTTTAAAAAATTGTGTTTGGAAAATGCTATAAATTGTGTTTAATTGGAAGGTACTTTTACAGTTTTCTTTTAACTAGGTAGTTACCTATTACTTAGTATAGGTATTTTTGTGCTTGCCTAATCTTAATAAAATGGCCTTTAAATTACAAAATCATAAAATTTGTTATTGTGATTGGTAAAGGGCCGATTCCGTGCGTTGTATTAAAAGAAGTTTAAATTGTTAATGTAAAAATGTCATTTTAATCTTCGTTTAACACAACGGTGAAAACGGCACTCGGCCCTCAATCGTTATTTTTCACTTTAATTTTTCGTATATGAGTACTTATTTTATTTTTAAATTTATTTAATACAGGTAGTGACCTCTACTGGTGAAAGCTGTTATTAACAGCGAATATTAGAGGCACTCTATCTTATTATCGGTAGATTGAACTAGCATTTCGGTTAGTTTTCGACATGTCCGTAAGATGGAAGTGCGCCAATTATAATCTCCATTTTAAATCCAGATTCCACAGGCGCACATTTCGCATCGATTTTAGCCAAGTTTTACCGGTCATATTCGGTGAAAAGGTATTCGAGGAGAACAGCCAAATTTCTGCAGCAGCGATTTTAATTTTAGGCCAGTGATAATTTAGGTACAATTAGGAAACATTTACCAACAGCTCAACTTTTTGTAACCTATACAATTTTATTTTGTTTTTATAATAAATAGTGTAAAAAGACAATTAGCTAGGTATTGGAAAATGAAGGTGTTTTAATAATAAAATTATTAATCATTAATTTGATTAAATTATGATATTTTTGAATTTTATCTTTCTATTTTCTATATAAAATCAATAAAGATAAACTTTTCATGTAACTTTATACCTAGTTATGAACTGAATTCATTAAAACAACATAAATATTGAGAAAAACTAAAGCTAGTCATTCGTTCGCGGCCGTGGTCGGGG